AAAAAAAAAAAAAAGAAAAAAAAAATCATATTCACGTATTATAAATAAATAAATAAATAAAATGACATATGTATGTGTAATTAAAAGAAAAATCATAACTGTGATATGTTGTAAATTGAATTGACATTGTTTCAATTTTTATTTCTATTTTATTGTCTACTTAGCTGAGCTCCCCTCGAGAGTGCAAAAAGAGTTWAAAAAAAAAAAAAAAAAAWTATAAAATTAAATGAAATTATAACATTATGAATGTATACTTCTTCATCTGTATGTGTTTCTAATTTTAGTACACGTATGTACGGTGTGTGAAAGTTAAAGAGTAGGGAAGGAGAAAGGGGGGAAAGGGGATGGTCGTATCCATGACCAAGAATAGCAGCAACGATGGTAATCAAATTTCACTGATAATGGATTCGTTGATAATGTTGTAGCCCTTTACCAGAAAGAGGGATGCTCTTAGCACCCTCCACCCTCCCCTCCCCACCCCAATGAACGCAACCCTTTAGAGACGCGACGATAATTTGGTATCGAGGTAATATTCTTTGATTATTGGGTCATGCACGTAAGCACGCACGCATGCAAGCACGCACGCACGCGTGCGTAATTTTTTTCTTTTTTTTTTTTTTGTCGTTTAAATATGTAGACATAATTTTGAATATTTCGTTAAGTAAATTTGTTAGTTTGTTTTGTTGGTTACTTTCTCTCAGACAGTTTGTTTGATGATACTTGCTAATAACCGATTTCACTTTGTAATATCTTCCTCTTTAATTATTATTTATTATCGTTTTACGTTTTATGTATCCTCAAGGCATATGGTCTTTCAGTTTAAAGTGTCAACAGATTTTTATTTTTTATCAAATGTCACAATATTAAAAGTATGGGATTTATGTTTGAACAAAAAAAAAAAAGAAAACAAAAAAAAGAAGCAAGAAAAAGCTCTCTCTCATTTCTATGATTTATCTCAAAGATTTATTATATATATATAATAAACTATCTTATCTTTTAAGTTGGTTGAAACTGCAGACAGTGTGCAAAATTTGATTAAAATTGGTTTAGTAGTTTAGGAGTCCATTGCGGACAAACAACGTGACACGTAATTTATATATGTATTAAGAAGATTATTTTTTCAAATTAATTTACTTGATTTAGTTAATCAAAATAAAAAATAAAATTACTATATTATATTATTATTATTTTATTCGATTAACTAAAATGCAAATTGAAATTATTATTAAATATAATTTTATCTCTGAAATTGGTTCATTTTTAATTTCATTTAATTTAATTTCGAATTTCTTAAGCTTATTATTAGGTGTCAATCAGAATTAAATGAGGAAACAAAAAAACAACAACAAAAAAACGAGAAGTTTCGTTAGATATGCCAGAAATAGTTGGACAAAATAAGACAAATAATAATAAAAAAGAAAATTTTCATAACCGGTTTTCCATAGTCTAATAGTTAATAGTTAATAGTTAATAGTCGTCGTCGTAGTCGTCGTCGTAGAATAATATCGAAGATACTTGAAACCACGACACGAATAACCGATCAAAGAACCTCGGTTAATATGAAAAGAGTCAAATAGAAAGAAAAAGGAAAGAGTTAATACTTGTCCTCAATTCTCCTCCATTCTTTTCTTTTCTTTTCTATTTTTTTTTTCTTCCCTTTCTCATTGAAATACTACTTTTGTATACTCTTTTACAATGACATAATAACAAGAAGAAGAAGAAGAAGAAGAAGATGGCTACAAATGTTTTTCTTTTTTTACAAAAATCTCGATCACACTCGGTCAATTGTCGAACAACAACAAGGCTCTCTTAAATTTGCATGAAACAGAAAGTTGAGAGAGAGAGAGAGAGAGAGAGAGAGAGAGAGAGAGAGAGAGGAAGGTTCGGTCAATTATATTCAACATGAAATATTAAGAAAGAAAGAAAAAANAAAAAAAAAAAAAAAGAGAATAAATAAATAATAAAATACACTTTGTGCATAGTAAAAAAAAGCAAATGTTTCTTTTAAATAATTTTCTTTTTCTTTTCTTTTTTTATTAAATAAAACATAAAAGCTTACCCTAAGACCACGAATATAAAATGTTTTATATTTGATTTCTTTTATATTTTATTTTACAAAGGACGAAATTACAAATGCATCATCATCCATTGGTAATTTTAAAATTACAACGATCGATACAGCAGAGTAAACGAAAATATAAAACCTTTTTTTTCAAGCTCCTAATTTACATATATACAGTCCGATACACACGTCTTTAAGTCAACGAATTACTTAATATCGTCATCTGTTAGAATCTTATCGAACTAACAGAAATAATCATGACTCTAATTAATTAATAAACAAATAATTGACAATAAAATAATATTGCGATTATAAATTGCGATTATAAACTATCCTATCTTTCAAGTTGGATGAAACTGCATAAAGTGTGCAAAATTTTATTCAAATCGGTTCAGTACTTTAGGAGTCCATTACGGACAAACAACACAAAGGTGTCTTTGCACTTATCATCAGTCGCAGAAACGCCATTGTTTGTGTCTCATAAAAAAAAAAAAAAAAAAAAAGAAATTAAGGATAATAACTCGCGAACATATAAAACAATGGAGTTGTATATTTATATCGTTGTTCTAACACATAATTGACGATCATAGACGTATAATAAAATAATATGAATCACGATTAAGATAATGATCTTAAAAGAAAACTCGAAAGTGTTGGGAGGAGGAGGAGGAGGTGGAAAAGGAAGAGAGAGAGAGAGAGAATTAGAGGTAATAGCGTTATGTGGCGTTGTTATACTCATTCTCTTTCTCTTTCTCTCTCTTTCTATGATTATTTCAAAGTTAAAGTTAGATAAAGACAGACAGAGAGAGAGAGAGAGAGAGAGAGAGACTGAGAGAGAACCAATGAAGAAATGAAATGGAAAAACACGGTTACTTCGAGATGATTTCACGGTTGAAGCAAACGCGAAGATTCATAGTCACGCTTGTGTGATTCGTTCTACGATTTACCAAGAGAAAAAAAAACAAAATGGGGGATGAAAGGAGGAAGAAGAAGAAAGAAGAAGATAAAGAAAGAATTCCCGTTCATCCCTATCATTTATTTTTGTTCATTTTTATACTAAAACTATTTCTCTCAATTTAAATCCGTTATCAAAAATAAAAAAATAACCCGAATGTAATTTTTAATTTAATAAAATGTACACAGTTGTTTTATTTTTTTTAAGCAAACACACGTTTTCATTTTGATTGTATTTTTCATTAAAAAATTGGGGTAAAAAAAAACTATTGAAATATTTGGAATCAAATTGTACGAAGTTTCAGTTCTCATGAATTTGTACGATGCAAAAAAAAGACAAATGTGTGGGAATTTAAAGAAAACGTATGACGAAAGATTAGAAAGAAAGAAAAAAAATAGAAGAAAATTAGATTTGAGATGATCTATAAGGAAGTAAAATAGGCAAAGAAAATGTAATTTCGTTGTCTATGTTTTTTTTTTTTTTTTTATTCTTTTTTCTTTTTCTAAGAAAAAGTAAACGGTCACGCTAGTTACTTGAAACAATGAGACGATTACGATGGTAATCTATTTTACTCGTGTGCAAGAAAAGGTGACGGTTAAGAAAGCGGATTCTATATACCATAATTAAAAGAACCAGTGCATTAGAATGTGTTATGTGTGTGTATATGAAATATAACAACCCCATACACACATATAAATAATATACACAGTAAAAGAAAAAAAAACTCTTCTTGAGATTTGTAAAAAAAATTAATGAACAAATTTCGAAAGATTTTTCAAGTTGATTTTCTTTTCAGATTACAAGAAAAAACAATGATAAATCTCGTTCGTACAAAATTAATGAATCACCATGTATAAGTGAATATAAAGTTCATGTTACTCACTCTGGTTCATCAATTATGACTACTTAATAATAATTAATATACACTTTACAAAGTTTCAAGAAACGTTTGCTCGAATAATAATAATAATAAGAGAACGAAAAAAAAAAGAAAGCTTATGGGAAATATAATTTCCCACATAGAATGTGAATGGAATAAATGTATGAATCAAAGAAAAAATAATTGATGATTAAATGTCTTTAAGTCAACGAATTATCTTATACCGCCATTTGTTAGAAACTTATCGAACTGACATGACTCTTTGTTAATAAACAAATAATCATTGCAATTATAAATTGAGATATAAACTATCCTATCTTTCAAATTGGATGAAACTGCACACAGTGTGTAAAATTTGATTAAAATCGGTTCAGTAATTTAGCAGTCCATTGCGGACAAACAACGTCACACACACGTCATTTATATTTATCGATTTTTTATTTACCGAAAATAATTTTCTTTCCAAATGGAAAATGTGATAAGTTTATCCAATTAAAAATATTATTAACTTCAAGAAGAAGAGTGTCACCGTATACGGTGACGGGGCCCGCCTGGTGAAGCATGCCCGTCTCCGGTATACGGTGGTCGTGCCATAACGACGAACGTGTTAAACAAGAAATTATTGAAATTTGTATAAAAGATGATAAAGTAAAAAACAACTCACTCAACGATGAAATTTATCCAAGATGGTGGTCAGTGGACAAACTCGTGAATAGTAGTTTCGGGATACCCTTCGCGATTTTCTTTATCTGAAATCAAAAACAAAAATGATATTTCATTATAATTCGTACATTTCATTTGTATTGTTAATAATTTGTACGATAGATAAAAATAGACAAGAACGCATAATGCATTCGGTAAATGCAACACGGGGGGGTGAGGTGGTGGGGGTTTATATAAAAAAAAAAAAAGCTTGAATAATCCAATCTTTTGCTACGGGTACCCAACAAAATGTCAACGCAATTTCCTCTTGTCAACTAGCAAAACACTTTCTCTAACTCCCATAATCTTGGTCTACCTCCATAAAAAAAAAAAAAGGAAAATAATATAATATTTTCTAACACCTTTTATTTTTTTTTGGTTGTCCATTTGCAAACAGACAAGCAACAGACTAATATTTTTGTCTAATTTGATTTTATTCAAACACTGTATAAAAATAAACCTCACCCCCTTATAAACGATTGGAAACGTTTATTGTATTCATCATTATTTTATTATCATCTATGACAAATTATATTTCATAATTGAATATAATTATCTTGAAATAGATAAAGTAGATTAAAAAATGAAAAAAAAAATCTTATTAATCATCTTGATGTCTCACGAAAAAAAAAAAATGTGATTATTCATTTTGAGTTAATCATTTCAATATTTTCAATCAATGTTGCACAATGATGGACAATAAAATCATATAAAAAAAAAAAAAAATCTAAACGATCTATCATTTATTACAAGACAATTTGTTTATTGAAAACTAATTGGAATTATTTTCAAAATAAATATCATTTTGAATTGTACAATAGAACAAGCTTCTGAATACGAAACTAAGTCTGCAATAAATGATTCATTTTCTCAGTTACAGAAATAACTCTTACGTTAGGTACTACAACATCAGTTTTACATTACTGTCTACCTATCATAGTGCGCTTAGTCAAATGAAAATCCTAGATGTGTCATAATAGAAAACATTTTCTAAATCACGAACCCCTTTAAAGTAGCCTTGACTACCATAACAAGAAAAATAATACAAAAATGCAAATACAAAGTGTCGAAGTAGATTAACAAAGTGATATATATGGTGGTGCGTTGATATACAGGTGGTATACAAGGTGGTGATGGTGGTGCTCATGTGCTTTTCCAATATAGGTCTTTTGGTGTACAATCAAAACCAAAAATAATGAATAAATCTTACGCAACAAAGTAGAGAGATCCTTGAATCCCCGTAGACGCATACGCGAAACCAGAGAAATAGAGAACGGAATCCTAATCCCAAAAGAAATGTTCAAAGTCAAAGGAGAAGGTAATAAGAAAAAATGATTGACTATGTTTCAATGAAATAGGATACTTTGAAATAAGAAAAAGAAGATTATTAGGACAACTGAACTAGACTGGACTGAACTGGACTGTGAACTGGACTGGATAAGAGTTCAAAGTAGGAATGATAGGAAAACTGAAGATGTCTGATGTTATATGCTACGATGATATGACGATGATGTCTTTGGTCAAGATGGGGAAAAAATGGAAAGACATGGGACAGATAGAAAATAATAGAAAAATAGAAAGAGAAAAATAGAGAGAGAGAGAGAGAGAGAGAGAGAGAAAGAGAACGAGAAAGAAAGAGAGAGACCGTTCTCCACTTGATGTGTTCACGTCCGTTTGTGGGTTTCGGTGGCCTCGAACTGGTCTCTTATCCCCGATATCGCCCAATCAAAAAACCGGCAGCATACCGAATGTCCGATTGGTCGAGTACGGCCACCGCGAGGATCGCAATTGGTCGATCGGCTCGTGTTATCCATGGTTACCATTCGCATCAACAACATATCCAACGGTCGATATTTCCTACGTTGCTACCTTTTGCAGTACACATAGAGATCCAACCCCTTTCCCCCAACCTCAACCTCACCACCCCCTCCCACCCTCCCTCTATATTCCACTCTTTGCCCTTCTCTTTCTCTTCTTTATCCACCCTCACCCCCACCCCAACCCACCCCTTCTTTTTCTTCTTCTTTTTCTTTCTCTATGGGTGGTGCTTTCTTTCTCTCGTCACCATGCACGATTAACGACGATAACTTCCAGGAGGTACGATTTCTAGAGGGTAAAAAGCTCCAACCACCACCCACCACCACCACCACCACCATTGCTTCTAACTCAACCTTCTTCGGCAAGAATCCTCTCTCTTCTATTATTTTATTCCTCGATCTCTTCCAATCCTCAGAATTATCTTTTCTTTCTAACTTTGAATTTTGTTTGGTTTTTTTTTTTTGAAGGGTTTTGGTTTTGGTTTTGTGGACCATTCGAAGTCAAAGGTAAATGCAAGAAAGTTTTCTCTGATTTTCTTTTATATTATAGATATATCGTAATATAATATTATAAAAAAAAACAAACGATTTCCTTTTGAATACCCAACACCCATTGAACGAAGTATAATTCGTCGGTTAATCGATTGACCATGATTAGAGTTTAAATCAACCAATGGAAACAACTCGCATGGTTAGCAATTTGAACCAACAAACATTATTTTATCCGACACTTTAACAATATAAGAAAATAACGTGTTTCACGGTTGTTCGAAATCTTTAAATTCTTCTTTTACTTCATCCTCCACCCATACACATGCATGGGGAGTAATTTATCATGGGAAAATATTCATTGAAAAATATTCTATGAAAAATCAAATGACTGGGTACAATTTATTCGTACAAGAAAGACGAAAATATCTTTTATATATATATAAAAAGATTGTGTATTATGTGTGTGAATGTGTGTGTGTGTGTGTGTTCATACGTGCTGAAAATCCTTTCCATGAAAACTAATTCGATTGGGTAGGTTTCTTTTTAAATGGGAAACCGTATTACACGGCACGCTAACCTGCTTGTCTCGTTTAATATCGACGAGAACGTGATCACCAATTCCGTTGGCTGATTAAATTCGCGATTGATGGGTCCTCCCTATTTCTATTTCTATTTATTTTCTATTTTGTTTTTTGTTTTTTTTTGATAGAGAAACGTGGGTACTTATGTATTAACGCCATGGCATTAAAGCAAAAATTCTGCTAATGCGCCAATAAAGAGCAATCTTGTTATTCGCACACAACAACCTTGTTGTTTGCACATAGCAACCGTCAAGGTTTCGTCAGGGTTGCTTCAGAATTTCGTCACGTCAGGGTATCGTCAGGGTTGCTTCAGTGTTTTGTCAGGGTTGCTTCAGTGTTTTGTCAGGGTTGCTTCAAAGTTTGGTCAGGTTTGCGTCAGTGTTTCGTCAGGGTTTCTTTATTTTTTAGTGCTACGAAAATGCGTATTTGGGATTTGTCAAAAACAGAACAACATGCGAGACATCATTTTGAATTTAATTTATCAGAGTTCATTTACCGACAGCATCAAATGAAAGAAAATATAAACTGTTTTGAATCTATATGGTAAATTTTATGTCGGCCCATTTTCTACCGAATTCCGATTGACTACTTTTTATAAATAAAATCTTTTGAATTTTGAAAGTGTTTCGATTTTAAATAAAATTTTTTCTTACTATGATTTGTCGTAACAATTTAAGATGTAGATTAGGACACGTTAGCGGAATTTTTCTGTGGTTGTGTTAATACGTAAGTACCGAAACGTGTATACACACACACACATGGTCTTTTTAAATGAATTAATAAAAGTAAAGAATAAATAATAAAATCTACGAATGTAGATAGATGGATACATGTTATAAAAGAAATAATATTCTTGCATGAGATTCGTTGAATTTCGTCTCATCATCGTTTTTCTCTCGAAAGAAGAAGAAGAAGAAGAAGTAGAAGAAGTAAAGTTGTGCAAGAGACAAATAGAAAAATAGAAAAAGAAGAGGAAAAGGAAGAGGAAGATTGGAGCCCGGAAGTCGATCGGAAGGAAAACAATAATGTCGGAAGAGAGTGTTCCGACTCGTTTCAAAGTCGTGAACAAGAGTGAGACGAAAGATGAGGCCAGAAGTAAAGAAACAGAGAGAAAGAGAGAAAGGGTGATGACCGGAAAAGGGTGAACGTACGGAAATCACGAGTAACTTCCAAGAGAAATGGAGAGTAAGAGAAGAGAAGGGGGCTTGGAGAGGGGGATAGAGAGAGGGAGATAGGGAGAGAGAGAGAGACAAAGTTGGTTGAGTTGGTAAAGTGGTCTTCTCTCTGCATTAGAAAGAAGAAAAAGAAGATGGCTAGATCATAGAAAGAAAATTTATCATAGTTAAACTCTAAGTGTGTTTTGCATCCCAGACGCCATTTAACATACAGTTTGATATAAAAAAAAAAAAAAAAATAATAATAATAATAATGATTTGAATATCAGAGAAGAAAAATATTGAAAACGTTTATGTAAATTAAATCAAATTTGTAATTATTCGAATTAATCACGACAACTATTTATATTCATATTTTATTAAATTTGAATTCATATTTTTATATTTATATTATATTTATTATATAATATGTATGATAATACACGATGACACGCGTAAATACTGAAACACAAAAAAATTATACAAATTTATGAAGATTATAAGGAAGAAAGGAAGCTTAATAAATTATGCATTGAAAGATAACAAAAAAAAAATCTGTCGATTAATCGCTAGATTGAATATTAAAATTATACATAAAAAAAAAATTAAAAAAAATGAAAAAAATGCAAGAGAGTGATAATAAATTTTTCTCATCCCACCCATCATCTATCAATTTCTTTTTTTTTTATCATTTAATTATTTAATTCTTGTTTCTTTAATAATATTTCTCAGTTTAAAAGTAATTTGCGGTTGGTAGAATAGCCTAAGGCCGTGAGAAAGATTCCTCGAAACTGTTTTCATCCAACCACCAGCAGTACCAGCACCAAGCATCAAGTACCAAGTACCAGTACCAGTACACCAGCACCATAAACAAGCCAGAAAGAGAGAGAGAGAGAGAGAAAGATGAAATAACCACGAGGAGTATTACTCGTAGTTCTCCATCTATCTCTATCCCTTTCTATACGATTGCCCTTCTCGCTCACCCTCCATCCTTGTAGTAGGC